GAGCTGGCCTTTCCTCTACTTCATAAAGTGTTAGTCACATTTTATATGAACAATGTTACAAATCCTGAGTTGTCCTTTCCTCTACTTCATACAGTGTTTGTCACATTTTATATGAACAATGTTACAAATCTTGAGTTGTCCTTTCCTCTACTTCATACAGTGTTAGTCACATTTTATATGAACAATGTTACAAATCCTGAGCTGTCCTTTCCTCTACTTCATAGAGTGTTAGTCACATTTTATATGAACAATGTTACAAATCCTGAGCTGTCCTTTCCTCTACTTCATACAGTGTTAGTCACACTTTATATGAACAATGTTACAAATCTTGAGCTGTCCTTTCCTCTACTTCATAGAGTGTTAGTCACATTTTATATGAACAATGTTACAAATCCTGAGCTGTCCTTTCCTCTACTTCATAGAGTGTTAGTCACATTTTATATGAACAATTTTACAAATCCTGAGCTGTCCTTTCTTGTACTTCCTCTATAGCCCCCCAGTGACACAGCAGTATGTCTGCGGACTTACAATGCTAGAATCCGGGTTTCGATACCCGTGGTGGGCAGATCACAGATAGCCCATTGTGTAGCTTTGTGATTAATTACAAAACAAAACAAACTTCCTCTATCGGCGGTTGTGCCATGATTAATCTATAATTTATTTGTACTATCAATTAAATGTAATATTAACTGAATCAAATGTGCTGATGAGGGTCAAGGTAGGTGAATTTTTACCTTCCTTTTATACATTTATTCGGTATTTAATTATACCGGTGCACAGAGTAAAAATTTGTGGTAAAATAGTATTACGATTGTTAGTTATTATAGCTGAGAAGTTATGAAAGTAGAATTAAGTATAGGTTTTTTGCCACAAAAACATGATTAATGTATATTACCAGACAATATTAGCGTCAATTTATCCAAATGGTGCTGGATGTACATCTTCAGGGTGCTCAGTAGCACTCGCATCAATACATTTGACGCCGTTGCCCAACAATAAACTACCATTGTAACATGCTTCTGCAAAGAAGTTTGAGGTCAGTCTTAGATCACATATCTTGGCAGAATTTACAGAGACCCCTCCAGTTCCCGTGGACGTCAGCTTCCAAGTCCATGTTTAAACAAACTAAAATGTACAGTAATTTATGGGCGCGTTGTCATGAAGGTAACTTAACTGGTATGTCGGAGAAAGGGACTGCATGAACATCGGTTTCTTTCTCATGATTCGTAGACATGTCGCTTTACCTTTTATTCTTCCGTAGCTATATCTTGTTGATCTCTCACATTTGTTATCGTTCTCCTGATAGTAAGTGGGATTAACTTTTCTTTTACTGTATCTCATGGTGGTATCCTCTCTAGCCATAAGGCACGTGGCGGCGTTGCACTGTCGAATGGTCGGGAATTCGCTGTGAACCAAATGAATGTGTAGGTTGCTAAACATGTAGATCATAGCGCCAAATCTCACACGTGCGAGAATATGCTACTGCTCTGACTTACACAAATCATTCTTATAAAGCGTGATTAACCATCCTTTGAAATGATCTGTTAACTAACCCTTACTCACTGTTTTATTTTTAATCTATGTTTAAGAATAATTTAACTTGAAAAATATTAGATAGGATGAAAATAAGCCAATATCTCATGAAATAGGATATATACTGGCTTATAAAAATCACTAAAAAATCGAAAACTTATGGAAAAGTTAAATAAAGTAAAAACTTTGAAATATATTGCACGTTTCACTACTTATATATACCATTTCATAACTGAGTTATTTATACCAGTAATCAAGTCTTTCAGTTTGATTAGTTACTTAGGGCTAGAACAGAGTTGGAATATTTCTACTTGAACGGCACTTTATGCACATGGGCGAAACAGCCAAATGAAAGACCGAGATTCAGGCATAGCCTTTCCAAAAACTGAACTAATGACCAGAGAGAAGGCAGCCAGCAACGCCAGTTACCAAAAGAATTTATCCGCCATTTTCAGCCGAATAATGGGATTGATTATCACTCTATAACACGCCTACAGCTGAAATGCGAAGCAAGGTTAGTGTCGTCACTTCTCGAACCTCGGACCCTTCGATTCTCAGCTAGACATGCTAATCACTTGGCTACGTCCGGCCCAGAGCTAGAACGCAATTTACTGAAGAGTGCAAAAAATTACGACTTAAAAATTAAATTAATATGTAGATAAATATCAAGAAGAATTTTTTTAATTTGATATTTAAAATAAATAAATAAAGAATATTAATAAGGACAGAAAATAAAGTTGTATTTATGGACAGATTATCAGCTATCATGACTTTTTTTGTACTAAAGTGTCTTGCATCCAAGAAAAATTTCTCAAGAGATAAGAACATAAATTAGACAACATAAGACCCATTTGCCAGTGAAACGAGATGTATAACTAACGAATTAAATGTAGGGTGTATGTTAACCAAAGACAACAAACACACTTGCTAAGAAAAATACGAAACGTTATTAGAATTTTCAGAGAAGTCCATCAAGAGGTTTATTTCTTAATAAATAATAAAATTCTTCGTTTTTATTAGTAAAATGTCAAATCAATCCTGTAATCAAACATTTGATTAGATATTAAAAAACACAGTAATTTCTTGATTTCATTTCAATCAATTATTGCCCTCCATTTTTTCACGCAAAATATAATAAATTGGTTATGTAGTAACCTGTTACAATCGCTTTAGCAAAATTGATATAAATTTATTGAATGAATACAGTTCCGTATTGTTGCGTCAGCGAGTCACATGACCACCGTGACGCAACGTTTCTAGAACTATCATGTACTTTGGCGAATGTTCAAGTTCTTACTAGAAATAGGGTACGCTGGTATATAAAAGAGGGGAATGTAGTGTGTGGGTAGATAGTGAGTAATTGAACTGCAGTCACACGGTATTGTTGAAGTTAACGTTCGTTCGTTACAGTGTTGTTTTAGCGCGAGTATTGAGATTAAGTGTATCGCAGAGTT